ATGACCCACAGCTTTACCCTTTCCAAACTGCCAGAGTGAACAGAGGGGGACGGGTCTGCTTTCCTGTCTCCCACGGGATCAGAGGAGGAAAATGCTCCAATTTCCTAAGAAATGAGTATTGCAGCACCATATCTCCTTTCTAAAGGGTTCTTACAGACATGTAACAGGGACACGCTTTCCAGGGAAGCACCCAAAATGCAAAGATTCAAGCGTGGCATTCACCCTCAGGCATGAAGTTGCAGCAGACTCGGTGGCGACACCAGAAATCTCCGTCTGCTCTCCGGGTCAAGTTTGATTTCAACACTTGGCTACCAGAGCTGCTCCTTCYGCCACAAACACATCAGCAAAATGCCATTTGGAAATCATAATGGCTGCTGTAAAGGGCAACCATGCCTGTCCTGACCCATAAATAATCRCTGCTGAAGAAGGGGACATGCTRTAAAAATRGGTGGTAATTCCTGGAAACTTGAATTTCTAGCCTACCCCACCCTCTGAAATGACTGATACCAGTCTAATACCTTTGTAGATTATTTAATGAAATGTAACTACTCTTGCAGWCATTAAAGTTACTCTGCTGTAACTATTGCAGCAAGCAAAAGCTGGAAAGGACATGCCAAGAAGCCACTAAAAGTGTAATATGGAGGAAATGTGATCAGAGTCCTCTAAACAGGCTGGCACTCCCAGATCAAGCTAATAATGGATCCCTGAAAATGTTTGTAGATGAAGAAGCTTACAACAGCTGGGCCAGCTTACACAGATGGATTAGTTCAGCACATCCACATTAAATCCTGTTCCCTTGTCCAAAATGTCCAAAAAAAGCGAACACTTTTTTAACCCTTCCATGAGTAACAACCCCCAGCACCCAATGCTCTGTAAGGGCATAGCAGGTGACTCCCTGTGCCCCCAACAACAGCCCCATTGCTCCAATTTCAAAGAGCTCTCTACAAGAATCATGGAATTCATAGAATCATTGAATGATTTGGCTTGGAAGAGACCTTAAAGATCATTTCTTTCCACCCCCCTGCCACAGGCAGCGACACTTTCCACTAAACCTGGCTGCTCGGAGCTCTATCCAACCTCAATGGGGCATCCACAGCTTCCTCTGGGGGACTAATTTCAGTGCCTCACCACCCTCACAGTATTGAATTTTTTAATAATATCTAATCTAAATCTAATATCTTAMAGTTTAAAGCCATTCCTCTTCCTCCTGTCRCTACATGYTCTTGTAAATRGCCACGCACTCCTGGACTGCACTGCTTTTATTGCTGGTGCTCCTCCACTAAACCCTCTCAAGTCCTTAACATACAGCTCATAAATAAAATGCTGGAAATGTGCCTTGGATTTARTTACTCCAAACTTATTAATAAATTTGCAATAACCTTTCAACAGCTGACTCCTCTTTCCAGGTGCGTTCCCAGGCAGCTGGAGAGAAACTGGAACAAAAAAAATGTTCCCAAATGAACATTCCTGAATGTCTACCCATGCTCCACATGGTTCATTGCCCAAAGGGTGTAGGCTACAGTGGAAAAAAAAAAAGCTACAAGGTAGAAATAGAGCTACTGGCTAATTATTTGAAGGGAGGGCAGGGAAAGGTTGGTGGGATCAGAGGTTCTTTTTAATAAGCCACGGTGCTGGGGAGGGATGCTGTGCCTGGCTGGGTCACACTGCTCCTGCAGTCTTTATTTTTTCTGGGAGATGAAAGGCATCCTGCCCCACTCTAAATACAGCTATTTTAGTTAGGGTTTGCCACAGGGGAAGGCTTTAGCCAAATTTTTATCATTTGGCTCCATGAGAAGGAAAGCTTCTGCCATGCTAATCTGAAAGTCTGACAGGAACATTTTCTGGGGAGTGGGAGCAATCCCTGGATTGTTCTGTTGGAGAGAAGGGACCTTGTGGGTTTGTGATTAATCCTCTCCTTGTTGCAAGGCAAAATGGTGATTTTAATAGTGGTTAAAAAGCGTGGTTGATTTGTAATGGAACAGTATCCAGCCCACACAATCCCACCTCCCACACAAACCTCCCTCCAMACTCAAACCCAGGGACTGCCAGACTCCTGTAAACTGCAGGGAYGTGGCTTTTGTGGCTTTATCTCAGCTCACTGGAATGCATGTGGGTTCCCATCAATATCTGGTCTTTAAAAAAAACTGGTTAAATCCATCATAAATATTAAACACCAGAGTATACTGGCAAGTTTCCCCGAAAACAAACTTCAAAAACATAATATAAAAAAAAAGATGTCATGGCCCTTGGGAGAACTGACACTGGCATGTCATCAGATGTTGTCTTATAAGGCTAAATTAAGCATCTGACCAGAGTTTAATTTCTGTAAAAACTCRTGCTAATTTAAATTGCTTTAGATTTAATTAAAAATGCCTTTCTATAGAGATAATAATGTAACTCTGTTAATTAGTATCAAGTGGCATCTAGAGGGCATATTTAAAAACTAATCTGGAGAATAAATAGAGCTAATTAACAGTCAGAATAATGCTTTATGATTGTCTTTTATTTATAAATGCTATAACGTTCAATAAGCTATTAAATGAAATTGTAATTAATATATATCAAAGTTATTTTTTAATACTCTTTTAACTAAAGAGTGCTTCTTACGCCCCATTTTTCAGACGGTCTGGACATGTTTCACTTCTGGAGGGAGTAGGGAGGGGGAAGGGGCTCTGCTGGACGAGGCAGCAAATCTGAATTCAATTAGGAGCAGTTCATTTATCTGCCCTACACAAGAAATCTGTGTTTAGGAGCCCATGGGGCTGTGCAGCCCCATGTGAGCTCGTGTGTCTGTGGGGTTTGCACAGAGCTGACCACAGCAAGGGCTGGCAGGGGAGGGCTGCTCATAGCCCCCCAAAACCCCACAGGCAGCACCACGGGCACAGGAGGGGCAGATCTTTGAAATTCCAGAAATCTCAGCCTTGCAAAAACAGAGCTGGGGCTCTGAGCAACGAGAGCAGCTCTGAGGTTTGCTGTAGGATCTTTCCAAAGACCACGAGCTGCTCAGATTCCATGGAGAGCAGCTTGTGGAGGGAGGGAAGGGGTGCTAAGAGTGAGAATGTGCTCCCATCCCATCCCATCCCATCCCATCCCATCCCATCCCATCCCATCCCATCCCATCCCATCCCATCCCATCCCATCCCATCCCACACACACACAGACAAGCACAGCAGAAGAGCTTGTCACTGTAAGGTTCAGTTTTTATGGGATTTCTTGCCAGCAAACCCGAGCTCCCCCAGAGCCCTCTGGGCCCAGGCAGTGCTGAGCTCCCAGCTTTGAGCAGGGCAGAGGGAATTCCTTGGTGTCTGSAAAAGGCTGTGCCAATTCCAGCAGATCCCAGCACGGCCACAGGGCTCAGAGGGCTGYCCTAACCTCAGATAGAAGCTCCTGMCATCCTCCAGTCCCTCCTACASTGACAGGTTGGACTGSATTCACCATATCATATAAAAYCATTGAWGTACTCTAAACTTCATACATGAAAAGCAGAGGTGGCCAACTCTGTCTTTTTTGTGTCCTTTAATGCTCATAAATCAGAATAACTCCCCATGTACAAATCAAATAAAAAACACTTTCATATGGTAATCTGCACTGTCCACACTGTGCAATTTTTTAAAGCACCATCAAATGCATCACATGTCCTTGCGTTTGTTTCTAATCTGTAATTCTGTGTATTCTTCCCTTTTTTAATCCCTTCCTAATATTGAAAACTCCTCTAGCTACCCAGAGCAGTGTTCATTTCAAAACTGGAGAGCACCTCTTTGCTCAGCACAAAGATTCAGCGTGAGTTTGTAGCACGAAATTTCAGAGAAAAACTTTGATGACCGTACAAGGAAAGGAGTTTTTGTYGCTGGCAAGACTCAAAGCTGGCCAGGAGAGCTGCTGCTCTGACCTCTGTGGGGTGACTTTCACGCCAGGTTGTTGACATCCACTTGCCTCTACAATAAATCTATGCTCAGCAAGAACGAGAACAAGCTGAGATTATTTACATGGCATAGGTGGGTGTCAGCAGACACATCCAGCAGCACCCGAGATCCCAAAYACCAGAGGAATGATCAAAGGAATCTGTGTGTGTGCTACAGCTCAGACTGGCCTTCAGAGCAGGAAAAAACACTGGAAGAAACACGAACATATGGTACAACACTTCCCAGCATGGCAAACAGCCACAGCAAACACTTTTTCAGAGATAAAATTAGATTGGGGAAGCAAAGCTGGAGAAAAACAAAGCCAAGTATGAACTCTGAAAGCATTTCAGCTCAAGGTCATCGGAATGCTTGCCATGTAACATCACCAGTGGTATCATTCTACCTTTTCTTTTCTGAYAGATCTGCAGAAGTCAAACAAACCTCGAGAAACACTCAGTTGCAGGTAAAAAATGAAAGTGCACTACAGTGCTCAGCAGGATTTTTGTTGCTGTTTATTCTGGAGACTAAACCACAGGACACTTTTCCCTTCCCAGAGAACAGAAGACATTTCAGAGATGCACAATGTACTCTTGTATGGGGCCAAGGAAACACAGCCACCAAACCCTTCAGAGAAATAATGTGGGGCCCTAATTCACGTGTTTTTCACTGCAGGTTTCCCTCCTGGTGTTTGTTCAGGATTAAGGAGGAGCTGGTGAAGTGGTGGGACCAAAAACATGAACCCTGAGGTTTCCCTCTGCACATCCTTAGAGCAATCCCTCACTGTCCTCCATCCCAGATCCAAGAGATAAAGCTGCTCAGTTTCAAAACTGGTTTTAAAGCTAYTTCACTGAGCCAGACAAACCATTTYCAGGGCAGTTTTYCTCTGGAGGGGAAATAACATGTTGTGCAAGTTAAAAAAGCCCCCAGATGGAAATTCCTGGCCATTATCTGCTTGAAGAAAATTCAGGGCAATAAAGACAGCACAAGTTTTTATCTCCACAAGAAGATTTAAGCAAGTATGAAGGAAAGTCAGGCAAAACTATACTCAAATTTGAAGAGGTGCATATTAGAATTGTGACTTAATGAACARTCTCTTACCTAGAACTCTCAATCTCTCTGCTCCAACAACCACTTCGTTGTCATCTGCAGAAAACAGCAATTTCCCAGAGAGGGTTTTCACCTCAAATTTTTGGCTGTGTGCTTCCACTGCTTGGGGACCTAAGGGAAACAAGCTTTACTTTAGGGAAAAGTATAAGAAAATCACACAGTAGCTTCCCACATTCAATAAGCCCATTTGCTGAGTAATAATAGCTCTAAAAATTGCATCAGAGACACCAAACAGGGAGGCTTTTTAGATCTTACTAGAAAAGGGCAGTTTTCTACCCAAGTAACAACTGCTCAACTATTTCTACTTACATTTTTGTTAATGCTTATGTGTGTCATAAAATCACCATTGAACTTGGGATGGCTGGGAAATGTTTACAGAAAGACAGACCCATATGTGAAAACAGCAATGAACAAACACATCCAGCCCTGCTTTGAGAGTATTGGAGCTCCTGAGCCCCTTTTGCTGATGCTGCAGTGTAAAAGATCCCTGGTTTTCTGCCTGTTAAATATATATGGGTTCAAATTCTATCAGTGTCATGCACAGTGCAATTAAAAAAAAGAAATAAAAGCAAACACCAGCACAGGAATAAATGTTTTGGTTTAGATGCCTTTAATTATGTACCAAGAAAAATGGCATTGTCTCACAYTGGAGAAAGTTTTTAGACAAGTAAAACTTTCCTTGGAAGATCTTATTTCAATTCTGCTGCTTTTCCTGCAGGCTGCTGTGCCCTGCAGTGCTGGAAAGCCTCTGGCAATTCATTTTGTTGTGGAGCCTGATAAACATCAGCTGCCTGAACAGCATTCTGGGCAGCTTTGCAGCTCAAAGGCTGCAAAGAGTTACAAAGAGGCTGCCCTGGGTTACTGACCTCGGCCAGACTTTGGCTAAATCACCATTCAATAGCCCTCCCAGAATAGTATCCTGCACAAGGTAGGTGATTGGAGTTTGCTTTAATTCTGGCCATCTTCATCACCAGTCTCATTTCTCAGAAGACAAGTGAAAACACCTGAAAGCCACTATTTCCTYACAGGCAGCTTCAAACTCCATCTCTGCCCAGCATTTCCCTGCCCAGGTCACCTGTGCTGGCACCTGCACACACAGAATCATGCCCGGGGTTTGCACTACAGACAAGTGAGGCCACGCTGAGATCCCTGGAAATATTAAAATCTCCTGCAGGCACTCTGAGAAAACCCAGTACACTTTTAGTTTGATTTGTATCTTGCTTATTAACCACCTCCCTACTCATTCTTGCAGCTAGAAGGGATCACATCTTTGCTCCAATGTGAAATCAAAGCTGCTGCTGAATGCATAAAGAGCTCAACAACCARAATATCAGGCTGGGAGGTATCACTGAGTGTGTCCTCCCAACCTCTCGTGACACAGAGGTGCTGAAGTGAACCAAACACCGTCTTGAAAATACACGGAGAACCAACAAACTGAAGATGTTCATTCTGAATGTGAGAATCAGGGAGCCTGGGGTTGAATTTATTGCCTCCCTCCAGGCAAGTTTCACACRTGCTGCCTAAATAATTGCTCACTGAAGCTGCATATTTAATTATTTAATACTGTGACTAAAGGCCAAGATGTTATATAAGCAAAACAAGCAACCCAGTCTCAACTTGGAAACATGTTTATGGATTTCTGGCTTWGCCACACACCAATACTTCCCACAGCCCAGGCATAAATCTCAGTGAATAGATCCCTACCCCATATAAAATACAAATTTTATACCATATATTCAGTGCCTTATACCCTATTTAATGCATTAGTCCCTTTCAACCCAAATTGCTCATGCATTCATTCAAAGGCTGCTGTGCACTGGGGATTTATGAAACACCCATTTCCCCATCCAACACACTCATGYTTGGGAGCAAAGGGAGTTCTTCATCAGCACAAAGACTACAAATTGCAAAGTGTTGCCACAGTTGGTCTCCAGAGTTCCCAAGATTTCAGGCAAGTTTTAAGTGTCTTAGGAAAAACCTGTGCTTGTTACAACAGAAATGTCAGCCTGGCATATGTTCTTCTTGACCCTGAAGCYGTACAGCGAACATTTCTGTCTCTGGATTAGCTTTCAAATGAAAATGATGGTCTGYTCTGTTATCAGACAGCACCAGCCAGTCGTCTCCCCAGCACAGCTTTCATGTTCCTGGCTTTGTTTCTACAAAGTGGAGTGAAGTTTCCATTTGTACTCCACGAGACACCTGGGCTCCCCTCTGCGCTATCTGAARCCAGCACAGCATCCCAAAACAGCCACTTTCATCCCTCCCTAATCCCCCCAAACCCTCCTTACCTGTTACAAGGCGAGTGAGGACTTTTGTCTTCTCGTTGAGGATGTTCACTGTCACGTTTCGGGCGGACTGGAAGTACAGGGGGTTGCCCTGGAACAAGACCCCAAGAACAAGGATGTGAGTTAGGGATGGCTGCCTGGGACCACCCTGGGTGAGACCCCTGGAGCTTTGGTCAGCACTGACCCCAAGGCTGGGGTGCACCACCCCTGCAGGAACTCCTCCTGTCCAGGATAAAGCCAGAGTGACACCACAGCTCTGTCTGGCCCAGGCAGTGCCTTGCTTTAGGGATGGTTGGCTCTTTGGCTGGTATCAGCCAACCAAGCTGTTATTTCAAAATGAGAAGCCAACCAAACTGTTATTTTAAAATGAGAAGGCAATTTGGGACCTGATCTAAGCTTCCCAAAGGTGTTTTGGGAGGGTGGTTGACTGCAGCAGTGAATTTTGGAGGAAGATCTACAAAATTATAGCTCCTGATGATTCTGGTGGGTGACAGTGTTTGCTCAGCACTGGACTGAGCTATGCCCAAGGGCTGGGGAGAAGAAAATCTGATTAACATGGGGAGAGAGCCTTAGATCTCAAAGCACTTGTGAACATGTGGCAGGTTTCACCAGCACACTGTGGGCTGGGATGCCAGCCTGTGACCAGACCCATCCCACCAGGTCTGCAGAACACAAGACACAAAATCTTCCCCATTTCCCACTTGACCATAGAGATTTTTACCCATTTTTCATTTCTTTGCTTTAGACACGCCTCTGAGAGGAGAGCCAGAGCAGCTGGTAACACACAGGAGCCACACAGCGACCTGGCAACCTCCATCTCAGGTATTTCTCCTGCAGAGCAGAGCCAAAAAAAAACCCCACAGCTCCAACCATCTGKCTCCTCTGGTGTGCAAACACAGCCCAGGCACCTGGGAACTCGTGTTTTCCACAGGCAGCCCCAGCCTGCACAGTTGGTTTCTTGGGGGCTATTAGCCACCCACAGTCTGAGCACAGGATGACCCCAAACCCAATCAGCAAAAATCTAAAGWGCGAGGTGGAAATTCACTGCCAGAGTCTCTTTGTAATGTCTAAAGCAGGCTGCTGATCAAATCCACTGACTAAGCCATAGGACAGGTAGAGGAGATGAAATAGCAAGAAAATCAGCAAGGATTTGAAAATTTTTATGTCCAGTGTCTTTTTCCAGCATTTCAAAATCTTTCCATCAGGAATGAATAATAAGGATGGGGAAAGAAAATCGTGTGGGTCAGGCATGTTCTTCTTGCCTCCTGAATTTGTAAGAGACACAATATTTTCATAGATGCCATTTTTTTCTGGATCATGGCAGAAAGACTAAGTTGTCTGCATATAAAATACAACAGGAACACAGAAATCATTCATGGGAGCCCTGTGGTGGGCTGGAGCTTCAAGGAACATTCTAGAGATGGCCAAACAATTCCCAGTGGTGTTTGCAGAAGACAAACTTCAAAAAACTAAAATAAAACCAGCCTCAGATGTGACCAAATATTCACAATAATTACAGTTGTTGCCCTCACTTTTTGCAGCATGTTCCCATGGGATCAGCCCTTCAGCAAGGAAGGGGAAAAATGGGCTTATCTGATAATTATAACTCAAAAGTTTTGGTACATTCAGACTATTTATAATAAAAAAAAGAATTCCACCTAATCATTTCCAGATCTTGGACAAGTTTCAGAATCTCTTGGTGCCTCTGACCCCTCATACACTAAATGAGGACAAATCATCCTTCTATACTCCTKCAATGTGTCTGACAGCTTAAGTAGCATTGTATATGAAACTGAATTATGATGAATAATTTAGAAGTAAGGATCAGTGGTAATGACTTGTAATGATTCCCYGCTTCTCTAATTTTATTTGTGATCTTCTAGAACTTCTAGATATTAATGCTGATTATTACTATTTTATGGTTTACAGCACAGAAAAAGAAAGTTCACTGGAATAGCCCCAGCTCAGAGGCTTTGAGCACACCCAGCAACAACAATTTACTGCTGCATACCCATCTCACAGTCACAGATGAAGGATATTTTAAAGGCAAATAGCTAAAATTAGCATTATGTATAGTCACAGGTAAGAACTGTAACCACTATGAACACATCATAGGAAGCACAGAAAGGTAATTCTTTTGTTTTGTACCATTTGACTTTTGCTTATGGAGTTCTAAGCAGCTGGAGTGTTTTGAAAAGGCCAGGAATTCTAGTCCAAATTCAGGCAGGAAAAACAGTTCAATCCCYGTGACTCTGAAGAATCTGTTCCTGCTTTTTGTAGTACGAGATTGCCCTACAGAATGGCTGAAAGATGAGCCAATATAAAATGTCACAGAAAGAGTTGCTACGAAAAAGATCTACAAGACAAACTAAGAGCTGGTATCCACCTACAAAAGACTTAAAATACAGAATCGGACCTGGAAGTGCTTACTCCAGCCAAGTCATCTCATTCACTGATTCAGAACTCAGATTCATGCAGCCTTCAAAAAACCAAATTTCCCTAATGGAGGAGTTATGTTTTTATTGGTCTGCAGGGAAAGAACATTTSAAGCACTTAATGCAATGCCTGCTCTCATTTCCATAATTCTTTTTCCATTAAGGAATGAAAGAGAACTGAAAAAATTACTCCCTTTTGCTGAAAATTCTGCAGATTTTCTATYCATCATCTTCTGTTTACAAAGGAAATAACACTGACATCTTAAATAGTGAACATTAAAAAAATGTTTCCTCTGTTGCAAGCTTGGTGATGATGCCAACTTCTTTCAATCACACAGAAAAAGAAATAATCAAAGCATTAAAAGCCAGTTAGAAATTACAACTGAAAAGACAAAACCTTCCCCTTCTCTCACACTTCCATGTTACCAGGACACAAAATGAAGTGTTCTGATGCATATGAGCAGGTGGAAATCTACATCAATATGGCATCAGCACAATAAAATAGTTCTGTAGTGAAGTKATATTTTCATAAACTGTCACAGCACTCGACAGGGCTCGAGTTAGAATATCAGCATGTAATAAACAATCACATCCTTTAAAGACTCTTTGGGCTGGTCATGTACTTCCAGCTCACCATGAACCTACTGTTCATCTCTGCAGGAAATCCTAGAGAGTAAATACATCATCCTGCCTCTTATTCCAGCTCCTCATTAGCAGACCCAGTGCCTTAACAATAATGCAAATGTTTGCAGACACATAATAGTGTTTGCCACAGCTACTCAATGTATTCAAACATTGGACACATGCTGCAGAAGAAAGAATATGGAGAGTGGAATATTTCAAAATACATCAAAACTGCAGAGTTGGTTCCTCACCAAGCAGTGAGGTATCCAGGAAAATACAGAAGACTTCACAAAAGGTGTCAACTYACTGTTTGCTAGGTTAAACACAGGGCAAAACAAGCCAGAACAGCTGTCTTTCTTTGGCTCACTTTGGAAGAGATGCTAAAAACTCCCAGATCAGAGACTGAAACAGAAAAAGCCCTTTGACTGACAACCTTAATTTGCAGCTGAAGCAATCCCAACCAGTGCTGTCTTCAGGRAGATTCAGTTCTTTAACAGATGTCCTTAGACTGTTTTAGGGAATTATTAAAAATATTTGGAAAACCTTTTAAATTTCAACAGGCAATTTAAAAATAATGCTTCACAGTGTGTGAGTTTGTAGTTTGGATGGTCAAAAGCAATAGCTTTGATTTGATCCTGTAGATTCAAAGACTTCCMACATTAAGTGCCAAGTGAAACTTGTGGAAATAATGGGATTGGTGAATTTCCTGCAGGCTCGAGAAAGTACTAATAAAATAAAATCTTAAAATCTTAAAAGCATAACCTAGGCTGGCAAGGAGCAGTCCATGGAGAAGTCACACAGAGCTCCATTTTCCTGCTCAACTCCAGCTCTCAGTGCCATTACAGGAAGCAAACACTGCTCTGTGCACAGGTGGACTGTAACTGAGTAAAACCCCTCAGAACTGGTGAGAGATGCTGCAGGAATCATTCACCTGGCACTGTCCTGAGCCTCAACAAACCTCACAGAACATTGCACAGACACTACACACCTCCTGAAGAGCAAACAGGAACCACTGGACAGCATCACCCGTTGGCTGTGAAAGAAACAAACTTGGGAATATTTCACAAACCCCATCCCTAAGATCCTGCTTGGAACAGCAGCCTGGCCTTCATCTCCATCAGCAGAAAATCTGGACTTCATGCTAAACTTGCTAAAATTACTGTTTCTATTTCAAAAGCTCTTTCTCCTTTTTCTGGTCTAGCTCTCCACTGCAAACCAGGATTTTGCCCAGATGCCTCCTGGCACAAAAATTTCAGGCATGTAGCTAAATCCGTAGGTGATAGATTGAAAATAGCCCTTAACATGATTTAAACATACTTTTTGTTGTTTAATCACTGAGTCTCTTTTGATCTTGATTTTGTCCTTCGAGCAGCTGAACATAATGTTCATGTTACTAAATCCCTTTCTTMGTAAAACTCCTGATTTGACAGTGCAAGCTTTTCATAGCAGAATGAAAGCAAACCGTGACAGGAATTGGTAACAAACAGATTAAAACAAACGCTGTCAAATGCCCCAGCACGGGCCATATGTGTGTCTGAAGACAGCTGCTTTTAGGAAGGAGGCAGTGGGTTCAGTGGAGACGTAACAAAATGTAGTTTGCATCCTCTTCTTCAAGACAAAATTTCTCTCAAGTGGGAAGTGCCCAGGTCACCTAACCTGGATCAGGGACAGAGCTGACACAGCCCTGAGCTGCAATGGGCACTCAAAGACAGAAATGCAGCACCATGAGCTCCGTGTGCTGGGCTACAACTTCGGACACTTCATCAAGCATTCAAATGCTTAAACAGCAATAAGTAAAATTCAAGTTCTTTCTTCTGTGCAAACAAGGTTCAGTCACCTTCATGGAATGATACATTTTACAACCATGGAGCTCAGAAAATACTGTGGGCACACCCAATATGAGATATTTTAATGGCACAGATAGTGCAGGTCAGAGTTTTATATCTGATGCCACAAACTCCTTTCCCTTACGACACTTCTTGAAGCTCATTTTAATAACAATGGAAACAAAAGATAAATTTCCTTCTGCTCC